TTTTATTGATCATACAAATGGATGGGATGATAGTTACATAAACTTCTCTCCAGAAAATCATTTCATGTTATGGAAGAATAATTAAATCACGATTCCGTTTACACGGTATCATGCAATTTGATTGGATAACAGCGGTCACGTGAATTCGGTTTATATCTGTGTAAACGGAATGGAAATATAAGCTCCGCCCCTTAACGGACTATTTATCGAATTTATCGGACTGTTATCGAAATGTCAATTCTTTTTTTTTTTTTTTTGCAGTGCGTTCTTCTTCACTGCATTGTTTTGCAAATGACTATTTTTTTTTTTTGTTTTTTTTTTTTTTGTTTGTCTACTTCTGGTCACGCTCCCCAGCCAAAACTGCACATGTCACACATTGTCTGACACTATTATTTCTTATACTTTGCGTGTCGCTACTGTTTAAATGTAAAATGACGCATTTTCTTCCAACCGGAAATGACGTATAACGTTAACCATTCTTTACGTATTTCGAATTACTGCTCTAATTCTGCATCTATTTTGACCGTAACTTTTGTTTTGTTCATTACTTTAAACCAATCACTAAAAGATAGCGCTTTATAAAATTTCAGATTTTGACTTTTGTCGCTGACTTTTTTTGTTTTAATTTTAGCGTTTTTTCAACTTCTACAATTTTATTTCAATCGGTCTAAAAATTTAATAGTAGATAAGCATTTTGATTCCTGACAAAAATCTATTTTCAAAATTTCGATATCACTTCCGGTTTTGACGTCATTCGCCTCTAAACTTGAAATTTCAACTTCCGGAATTTTGTAGGTATTTGAAAAATTCTTTTTGAAATTAGTTAAAATTGTGGAATGAAAAAATTTGAACCGGAAGTAACGTGTTAGACGCCATCTTGATGTGACCAATTTTTGTAAAAATCGATATTAAGCTTCAGGGGTAAATCTGATTTGTGTGATTTTGGTGTCTAAAGAATCTGCAATCGATTGCTAACAAAACTTGGGAAGCCGATTTTTGAATTTTGGATTCGTATTTTTTTTATTTCCGGTTTTATGTTTTCAGTAATTGTCAAAAATATTAAGGCTCATATCTAGTGACTTTGACCTTTTGTGACCTTGTGACCTGAACAAAAGTTATTGCCCCTTACGAGATATATCCGTTGATATCCTCACTTTTG